GAACAGAGATGATGGTAAATGGACACAGATTTCAAACCGACAGGAGGCAGAAGATCAAGAGCTGTGTTGTACAACCCAGGGAGTATCGTTAACAACAAAGTACTGTGTACTTGAAAATTACTAAGAGAGTAGATTTTAAGTGTTCTCGCCAGGAAAAATAAAGCATGTAAGGTAATGTGTATGCTAATTAGTTTGGCTTAACATTCATTTCATAATGAATACATATTTTAAAACAGTGTGTTGTACACTAAAAAAATACACATTTTATTTGTCAATTTAAATTTTTTGAGATTTGAAAAACCTATTGCTCTTTCTCAGAGCTTTATGAAGTAGGTACTATTTATTGTTGTCCTGATTTACAAATAAGGGACACAGCACCAGGCGCTTAAACTACCTTGCTCAAGGACACGAAGCACATACATAGATATGGGCTTTGGACCCAGATGCCCCATCCTAGAGCTTGGACTCCTATATGCATCTTACCTATGCTGAATCTCACTGATGCAGACCCCTCCCTTACCTCATGGTAGAAGTATTTGAACATTACTTTTAAGACTCCCTCCTTTTTCCAATTCTCACCATTTCCAGAGCCCTTGCGAAGTGTTATATTTGGGTTCGGTGTTCCCATGATTGTGTTCCCAGAGAGCAGGGTTGTTCCCACAACCTTATTCTACACACTGTCTGTTACCTAACAATGCAGTGTAACAAACATCCCCCAAGCACTATGATTTCAAATAAGAAACACAGATTTCATTCATCAGTCTGCAGGTCAGTTGAATGTTCTGGTCTTGGCTGGCCTTGGCCACATGTCTAGGTTTAAGTGGCTCTGAGCCAACCAGTGTTGACTGGGACATACTGGGATGCTTGGTTCCGAACCATGTCTCTTACCTTCCAGCAGGCTAGCCTAGACAATGGCAGAAGGGCAGAAGCACGTGAGTCAGCTCATTGTGCACACACTCAGCAAACTTCTGTGTAGATTTACCATCACATTCCATTGGCCAAAGCAAGTCATGTATCTGAGTAGGATCTGAGTCCAACTGGGAGAATGTTGTGGGTATATGATTCAAGGAATGGGCCTAGAGAGGGATAAGAAATTGGGCCATGAATACACACAAGCTATAACTTTTCATCCTTCTTAACAAAAGACATAACAGAGAGAGACAGGAGAGAGAGAATGCATTGGTATGTACAGGATATATGGAGATCAGAGGAAAAGCTCGAGTGCCATTCCTCCTCAAGTACCATCGACCTTGTTTTTTGAAGCAGGGTCTCTCACTGACTGCACGATTAGCTAGGCTGGCTGGATGTCACTGTCTCCCCAGCACTAGGATTAAATGCACATGCCACCATATCCAGCTTGTTACACTGGTGGTGCTGGGGATTGAACTAAGATCCTCATACTGGCACAAGAAACACTTTACAGACCAAGTTCTCTTGCCTGCCTCGGAACAAAATTAAATTTCAAGTAAAAGAGTCATTTAGATAAAGCACCCCAAGGGCCCATAGTCTACAGTTGAGCTCTGAAGGGCCATGAAGAAGGGGGCACAGTAGGGAAAATGTGCACAAGTGGGTGCTTTAGAGAGAGAAAACAGCCCCCCCCCTTTGCACCCGCAGGAAACAGAGTGGAGAACACAGCCAGTGAGGTCCCCTTTCTGGAGGCAAGGTAACAGGCAGCGCCCGCCACTGTGCCAGTGTCTGAGCAATAAAATCAGTGCAGAAACGACATCTAAACAGGTGGTAGCTACACCGACTCAGTTAGTGGCTTCTCAGCATATCAATGTCTTGTTTTGTTTCTCCTGTAGAAAGCTCAAATAGTGGATTGCCTGATTCAAAGTTGGCCCCCAGGCAACCCCAGCGCTTCCAGGAGGGCACGAGTGAGTATCTATTTTCTTTCTGTTCCTGGAAAGCAGCAACTGTCATTTTCTGGGCTCACACACCCTGCACACAGGCTGATTATAATCCTCTCCCTGAGAAATGGGGGAACCCTAGGAAGTCTGCCAAAACCACTTTCCAAATATCCAGATCCATGGCTGTTGCTTCTGGTGGGAGATACCAGAAATGGTCACCCTCCTGAAGAAGGGAAGGTCAGGACCTGTGGGTAAATACTGACTGATGTAAACGTTTCATTTTAAATAATAAAAAAAGAAAGCCTCAGTAGCTGGAAAAACTTACCCCAAACAAAAACTAAACACATGAAAGTGAGCCAACGAGCGCTCTGCTTTCTGTCACAGGGATGCCAAGACAGTCTCAGTGACAGCATCGCCTTCACTCGGGGCACTGATAGGGGGAAACAGGCTGCTTGATGGTGACTGGAAGCAAGGGGATCTTGGCTTCCTTCCCAGAATGCATTGGTTGGGAGAAATCTCCAGAACCTGCTAAGTTTTCTTCAAGCATTTATCATGGACTGGCTCTTTATATTTGTTGTCTCAATCAACCCTGAAAGAATTCCCAGGAGGGGAAAAGGAGATGGTTTGGTTTGGTTGGTAAAGAGATTGCCTTGCAAGCATGAGGACCCAAGTTCAGTCCCCAGCACCCAGGTAAAAATGCTAGGCTGGAGGCATGCACTTGTGATCTCAGGTCTGAGAGGGTGGAAACAGTTGGATCCCCGGTCTAGCTAGGCAACCAGCCTTGTCTACTTGACAAGTTCTAGGCCAGTGAGAGACCCTGTCTCAAAAATAATAATAATAAAAAAAGACAAACAAAAAACCCACAATAAAAACAAGTGGACAGCACCTAAGGAGAAACAACACCCTTATTGTTGAGCTCTGGCCAGCACACACTCACACCACACACACATACATGCACAAGAAGAGGAGGGAACCCAAGGTAGAGCTGTGTGCATCTCCATTTTGCAGATCATGGAAATGAGGCAGCACACTTTAGTGATGGAAACTGCCCAAGCTACACAGTTGTGTGTCTGACTGCAGCATTGGCCTTCCCAAATGTGGTTCTGAGAAGCCACCATGCATGGCTGCCCTCCCTTCAGAAACCACCAAGCTAGGCTGCCTTCAAGTCAGGGCCATCCATATTCTCTGGGGATACAATCTCCAAGAGGACTGGCCAGCAGGGGATTGAAGAGAATCTGTGTCTGGAGTCGCTGAAACTGAATTGCCTGGGGCTCCCAGGGAAAGGAATGGACCTGGATTATTTTCTTATCACATCTTCTTTAGCCCCCTGTTGATTCTCCACGACAATTATTTTGTATGTTCAGGGAGAAGAGCAGGAACACATATATGAACGTGGTTGCACATGTATGCAGGTACATATAAAAGTCAAAAATTGATATTGAATGTGTTCATTTATTTTTCTCCACCTTGTTTTTTTGAGGCAACCTCCCCTTGAACCTGGAGCTCATTGACTGGCTAGTCTGGCTGGTCAGCAAGCTCCAAGGACCTCTTGCCACCATCTCCTTCCAATGCTGGGATTGCAAGGGCACATTGCTGTGCCTGGCTTTGTACACAGGTAGTGGGGATCCAAACTTAGGTCCTTAAGCTTATGCAGAAAGCACTTTTTTCATCTCCCCAGATCTTTCCTCCAACTCTTACTGTGGAGGCATCACCTGAAGAGTAAATACCCGAGTTTGTGGCAGGGGAGTATCTGGTTCCAAATGTTTTTGGGAAACAGACTCTTTTATGAAGACACCACTTTCCATCCTTTTTGTTGAGACATGATTGTCTTACCATTGAATTTGACGTTTCCTGTTTAGCAATAATCTAAATTTTGATCCACTATGTCCCAAAATTGCATTAATGACTCAAGTTAATATATAATATTATGTATATATGATAATATGTATAAGAATGAAAGCCTTATGATTTCAGAAAACACAAAAATTTTGAAGTTTCCATCTATAAACATTATTCGCTTAGCTGTGATGCCAAGATTATCCTGGTGATTTTCTTTGGCTTCCTCCATTCTCTTGGCCAAAAATTTAGCACATCTGCAGCCTCCTCCTTGTTTTTATTAGTGTGTTGTTTTTAGAGCAATTCGTCTGTGTTCGTGTTGCAGGACATATGGAGTAACAAGATGCTGGATGCTGTGTGTTTGCTCCTAGGCTTCTGACCTCCTTGTTTAAATGGCTATCTGAAAACTCTGGCAGATATCATCTTCTTTAGAGATATTGAAGAGCTTTAGAACTCTGGTAGCTCTTTTGGGCCCCAGCTACAGGCACAGTGGCATCTGTCAGTCCAGGAATACTCCCACCTCCTTTCTCTTTCTCTCTCTAGGTCCTTTCTTTCATTTTTTTCCTTTTACAAAACCCAGGTTGCAATCACTCTGATCAGTATCCACAATGCATCTGAAACAGACAGACTTGTGCTTCCTCTCTCCAGATCTCCTTGGTCTATAACAAGAATGCCCCTTATTCAACAGCAGGCACACTCTGGTCTACAAAGCAAGTTCCAGGACAGCTAGGACTGTTACACAGAGAAACCCTGTCTCAAAAAAATAAAAACAAACAAACAAAAACCAAACAAAACTTGAGTTCATCATTCACTTGAATGAGTTTCTTGGCTGGGAAGGAGATATTCAGCTTCGTCTTGCACAGTCAACTATCTGGAATGGGCCTTGAATAGGGAGCCATGTATTTTTTGTTTACTTTCTCTCAGATCCTTCAGAATGGATGTGAGGTGTATTACTAAACATGATTGGATGGGGTAGAGGACCGCGCAGTAGAAGCCCTTGGTGCAGTGCTTCAGGGGACCATGGTTGGGGTTATAGTTGATCACAGCTATCAGGGATAAGCCGCTTCTCAGCTACCATATCTTCAATTTATCGGCATCAGAGAACTACCATTTCTTTGAGAGATGGATCTTCTGGTAGTTGGGGGGGGGACTTGAATTTGGTTCTGTGCAGGGTCTCAATCACTTATCATTCTGCCGCTTAGGGTGAATGTACATGATGACCTGGCCAATGTGACTCTCCCAAAGGAACCTCACCTACCTGTCAGGAGCCTAGACTGGGGACAGCATTGAGATCAGAGACATGAATATACACCAGAACACTGTCTCCAAGGTCCCTTATGACAGTCCATATAGGAAAAACACTGATACACTACCAAGGTGGGGGGTGTTCAGAGCCACTGCAAAGCAGGCCCCTGAGAGTAAGGGAACCTGGTTGGCTGAACTGCTTGTCAACATCTATTTTTTTAAACAAATGATATTGCATCCAAAAAACACTAGGAAATTGAAATTGCATTGAATATATTTGAAGAAATGATGTAAACATTTTATATTTAAATGTTAATAATAACAAACTGCATGCTGAATTCTTTATAACGATTTAAAATAATAATACTTTTGGGGGGGTTGAGACAGCATTTATTTGTGTAGCCCTGACTGTCCTGGAACTTACCCTGTAGATCAGGCTGGCCTCAAACTCAGAGAACAATACATTTTAAAAGTGTGTCATTATGGAGATTTTTCACATTTCCTTTCATGGCACATAGGAAAAGATGTACAAAGGCCTCTGATTTTATCCACACACTTCTTTATACAGATGAAGCTCTTGAAATCCAGAGGGTTGAAAGGTCATGTAGCAAAGTATTACCCAACCCAGGCCCACTTCTAAGGTCTTAGAACTCCTTATTTGGTCCTGTATTACTTTTCTTCTTGCTGTAACAAAATACCTGCCAAAAGCAATTTAAGGAAGGAAGGGTTGCTTCTGGCTCATGGTTCCAGATGATGGTCTATTGGTGGGGGTGGGAGAAGGGAGGAGGGTTGGAGGTGTTATAATGATGGCAGCTTGAAGTCCTGGCCACACCCTGTCCACAGTCAGGAAGTAAAGACTGATAATTGTTGTGAGATATTTGGTTACACTGTATAAAGATATGTCACTGTGATTGGTTTAATAAAGACCTGAATGTTCAATAGCTAGGCAGAATTTTCAGGTACAGAGGATGCTGGGAAGGAGAAGGCAGGGTCACCAGTGGACAAGAGTAAACAGACAGGCAGGAGGAGAGGCAAAGCCACGAGTTATGTGGCAACATGTAGATGAATAGAAATAGGTTAATTTAAGTTATAAGAGGTAGTTAGAAACAAGCCTAAGCTATTGGCCGAGTTTTCATAATTAATAATAAGTCTCCACGTTGTGATTTGGGACCTGGATGGCAGGACAGAGAAAGTCCGACTACAGATCATCACCAGTGTTCAGCCTACTTTCTCCTTTACTTCTAGTTCAGGATCCCAGACCATGGAATGGTACTGCCCACAGTTAAGGTGAGTCATTCAACTTTAATTAGTTGCATCTAGATAGTCCCTCACAGACTGGCCCAGAAGCTTGTCTCCTAGATGATTCTAGATCCTGTCAAATTGACAATATGAACCACCACGACACTTTACTCCTAGCCAAAGCAAGCTCTCCACATCAGAGTTCCATGAGGTCCCAGCACTCAACAGGCTTCAAAGGCATGAACATTTACCTAGAGCAGTGGTTCTCAACCTTTTGAACTCGGTGACCTCTTAATACAGTTCCTTGTGTTGTGGTGACCTCAACTATAAAATTACTTTCATTGTTACTTCATGACTGTAGTTTTGCTGCTATGAGTCATAAAGTAAATATCTGATATGCAGATGGTCTTATGTGACCACTGTGAAAGGGTTGTTCCGCCCCCAAAGGGGTCTTGACCCACAGGTTGAGAACTGTTGACCTGGAAGGTGCTTGCACAGAAAGGTCAGGGGTGAGTGAGATCAACAGTCTAGTGACCCTGCTTTGGCAGTACACACACCAAGGACTATCAAAACAGGAAAGTGGGTCCCACTCTTGGGCCTAAGGGCACACAGGAAAGGTGTCCTGTACAGAACACGGTGGAGCCTGTTGCCTCAGCAGAAAGCCACCCCCAGGATCTGGGTGTTATATAAAAGAACATGGTCACTGCCAAACCAGAGATAAATCTGCCAAATCTCCTATCTTCTTGTGCTTTCTGTTGGCCAAACTAGTCAAAAGTGCCAGTACATGGGACTTTTAGATCTCAATCTCTTGACCAAGAGAACAGGCCAGAGGGGAAGGAGTCCACCACACTCTCCATTTTGAACAGGATATTTGTATTTAAACAAAAACAATAAAGGTAAGTCACAGCAGAACTAAGAGATCCAGCCCCAGAGAATCAGAAACCAAACGTGGCTGAGGCAGGAGGATTTTCTGAGCCCTTTAGAAGGTTTTATTCTTCTTGTAACTCTCATGCGCATGTATCTACATATTTGAACATTATCAATTCTTTGACATCTTCTTTTTCTTCCATTGGAAACTGATCCTCATTTCTCTAAAAATTGCCTGATTAGATCTCCTCATGGAAGTTTTAATAATCTGCTAAAGCTTTAACCAAACCCCAGAACTGAAGGGAAGTCCCTGGGAAAAGCAATACAAAATGGACATTTTTAAACAGAAATTTATTATTAAAGATAATTATATGAATTATTAATCGTTGTCTATTAAAGGCAGATTAATCCTGCTATAATTAGAACAAAAGAGTGTATACAACTGCCATAAACCAAACTTTAAATCCCTTTCTAGGCAACCTGTGATTCCCTTTATGATGACAGCAACACCCTCTAGGGGAAAGCAGCTCCAGGGACCTAATAATAGGGATGGGGCTGGGATGGGGCTGGGATGGGGTAGAGAGCAGTACTCTTATCCCCAGAAGAAACCAGGTGGGTGGTGTTCTAGGCTGTCAGTTGGGAAGCAGAACACCCAAGCTCAGATTCAAGCAGACTCACTGACTATTCATTGTTTAGCCTTGCCATAGTCTTTCTCTCTGAACCCAATTTCTTTCCTCTGTGCCATCGCTAGTATCTGCTGTCCTCAACCCCAAAGCTAGAGTAAGGAAAGTGAAGGATATAATGTCCTAAGTACACAGAATAGTAGAAAGAAACGAATAAATATGCTAACAATCAAGATCTGGGCTTAGCCGGGCGTTGGTGGCACACACCATTAATCCCAGCACTTGGGAGGCAGAGGCAGGGAGATCTCTGTGAGTTTGAGGCCAGCCTGGTCTCCAGAGTGAGTGCCAGGATAGGCTCCAAAGCTACACAGAGAAACCCTGTCTCGAAAAACCAAAAAAAAAAAAAAAAAGAAAAAGAAAAAAGAAAGAATAAAAGAAAAGAAAAGAAAAGAAAAAGATCTGGGCTTAAAACTATAGGTGAATTTGAAATTATGGACAAGCCTGATGTACTGGAGCATGCCTGTAGTCTGAGCTCTAGGGAGGGCGTGGACATGAAGGTTCAAGGACAATTTGGATTACCTTGCCACAGATGCCAATGGACAAATCAAACCATTGAATCCTGGATAAGAACAGACAAAGGACAGTGCCTTGGTGGTGCCTTGTCCTGGGCTTCTGAGCCCGCTCTCCCAGCTCTGCTGGGGCCCAGGTCCTTCCAGAGTGTGGCAGTCTGTGAGGAGAGGCAGCTGGACAGCTGAAGTCACAGGACTTTCTTGGGTCTCAGTAAGAGGCACACACATGCAATAGCACACATGAAAGGCTGCCTTTGGCAGTGGTTGTGCACAGAGGTGAACAGCTCTATTAGTCTAAGATTCTGGTCATGGTTAGGGTAAGCAAAATTCTGGCTGGGGCTGCACATACGGGCAGCAGAGACCAGATGATGGCACAAGCCAAAACACACAAGTCTGGCTGCCTTCCCAGGCTACACACATGTGTGGGCAAACCAAGAGAGCTTAGCAGAGAGGAAATACTGGAATAGACTTTAAAGTACCCTGAATTTTGAGTCTGTTCTCTTACCCATTAATAGATGTCAGCAGTGGATGACAGCCCGACTTGCTTGAAGTGTCTCAATATAACTCTGACAATCACTGACTATTAAAATACAGACCCAGGACTGGCCCTTAGGAAGATAGCCTTAAGAAGAAAAGCAGAATAAAATGTAAAGAAATAGGGAGATAGTTAATCCAGTAAAAGAGCTGATGTATAATCACAAGGATCTGAATTTCTCTCCTTAGTACTCATGTAATGTAAGCAATACATATGGTAGCTTGTGCCTGTAGTTCCAGCACTGGGAAGATGGACACAGGCAAACTACTGTAGCTTACTTTTCAGCCAATCTAGCTAAATTGAGGAGCCCTAGAATCAATGAGAAACCCTGTCTCAAAAATTAAGGCAGAGGAAGAGCCAGCAGCTTGTGTGGGTGTCCTAACCAACTTGGCAGCTATCAAGCAAGCCCAGATCCAGTGCCTTGAGTTGGTCAACCCAATACCTACTCCATCTACAAGCTGCTAGACCTTGAGAAGGAGCAGGTGTTGCCAAGCCAGATCCAGAGAACATCATAGTTACTGAAGATGAAAACCAGAAGCATGGTTGTGATCAAAGGAGTCGTGGCAATGATCTGGTATTTACCATGCTTCAGTGGCCAGAGGCCTTGAGCCAGACCAATGACTCGTGGTGACAGTGAGTATTTGCATGTGGAGCTGTGTGGGCAAAAAATGTACTGGGTAACACGATGCAGTTTTCAATGTCACTGTGATGTATGAATTTGCAGTAGAGTGGTGGGGAGAGATGCAGATATGGAGAGAGGCTGACCCATGCCGATTTCTGAGGCTTGAGATATCGCTGAGAGGCCATGTTGATGTGCATGTCCTGTACTCCTGTCCAATGACCTGTTGATATCTGTAGTCCATGCTGACACTGGGGGCCATGTCTGGGTCCTTGGTCTGGCTACACCAGGGGACATGTTGATGTCCGTAGTCCATGTTACTATTGAAAGCCATGTCATGTCCATGGTTTGTGCTGCCCCCTGAAGCCATGATGATGTCTATGGGCTAGGCTGCAACCAGGGACCATATTGGTGTATGTGACCTGTACTGCCACAGGAGAACATGTTGAGGTCCATGGCACAAGCTAATGATGGAGGCCAGGTGGATGTCTGTGGTCTGTACTGTGGCCAGATACCACGTGGAAGTCCATGATCTGTGTTCCTGCTGACTGCAAAGGACAAGGAACCTTCTTCTACAGTGACATCAATGACTGCAGACTCATAGCTGAGAAGGAGAGACATAGAGGACTTCTGTGACAATCCCGCCCCCATCTCCCCAAAAAGTAACAACCTAGACAGGAAGCTATCAAAAGACTCTGAAAAACTGGGATAGGGATGCTGAAGTGTAGCTCTCCACAATAGATGGCTACTGGGG